CTTAGCTAAAAAGATTAGGGCCTGGCCGACTCTGTGCCTAACAGGCGGCTACCCTTCTTTCACTTAGCACCTACGTTCACCAAGAACTTACCAAGGCCACCGGCCGAATGATCAGACCAGGCGCCAAGCCAACTGATCAAATCTACAAAACTAATTCGACCTGTCCCAACATCATAGCAGGCGTCCGACGACATCCCTCCGGATGAAATTCGTCGCAGAGAGCAGCTCCCTTTTGGGTGGAACATTGTTCTATAAACTAATTACACGGCACCTATACGACTGTCCCCAAGGACAACCACGTAGCCGTTTTTGAGACAAGGATAACTCTATCACTAACCAAACCAGTGGTAGCAGTTGACATCTGAGTCAGATGACCGCCTGTATTACTTGGGATAAATGCAGGGGGTACCTCTTGAGTTAATAGCCAACAAACATTGGCGAATCAAGGGGTCTAGCCGGCCTACGCCGCCTGGTACCTCTACTTCTCAAACAAAAGTGACGGCGACTGAGTAACTCCAACGTTAACTCATAGTCACTCCTTCAAATTTGGTATGGAATCTAAAAAGTTTGAGTCGTCCGCCTGTTTTAAACAAACAAGGGCACTCGAACCCCTATTCCTACTAAGTAACCTATTGAGTTAATAGCCAACCAACATTGGCGAATCAAGGGGTCTAGCCGGCCTACGCCGCCTGGTACCTCTACTACTCAACCTTGATTGTGACGAAGACTAAGTAACTCCTATGTTAACTTAATAGTCACTCAAACTTAGTAGGGAGCCTAAAAGGTATGAGTCGTCCACCTGTTTTTTATAAACAAGGGCTCTCAACCAATACTCTTGCTAGGTTAACAAATTACGAGTTAAAAGCCAACATTGGCAATAAAGGGAAACAACCGGTACCCGCCGCTTGTTTTCCTACTTAATTCCTTGGCGACTAGGTAATACTATTTACTTGGTCAGACTGATTGAATAAATAGTTCGAATACCGATTGAAAAAATGGCCGACTGATCATCTACCCTGGAAACAGACCACCAGTCGTCCAGGGGCATAGGCGGCATACTTACTATTTGTACCTGTCTTAACGTTCGGCCATACACAACAGTCGGTCTAGTGAACAAAGGGATATTAGATATGGAATACTTAGACAAATTTGAACCAAAACAAAAATTTGATTAAAAATGAGCCGGCCATTAAAGACCAGCAGAATATTCAAAACCCCGGCCCCCTGGCCGGGTAATTACAAAGCAAACGGCACGCAGGCCGTGAAAAAAAAGAAAAAATACTTAAAGCTTAAGAAGGGGGCAGTTCAGTATCAGCAGCTGCCGCCTGGTCAGCATTCTTCTTGCTGGACTCGGCCTTAGCTGCACCCTCTTTTGATGCCTTACCCCCAAGTGGCACAAGCGCCACGACCGGCTCTTCCTCCTCCAACGCACCTTCCAATGCCTCTTCTTCAGCAGCCGCCAGGATCTGTTGATTATATGTTTCCGAACACTGGCGGTACGTTCTTTCCCATGAGGCAAAGTCGGCACTGGGGAACAGTCGTTCCCAGGTCATGCGCTGGATTTGAGCGGAGTCTTCCACCATCTCCCGGACGAGCTCTTTCTTCTCTTGCTCGGCCTTTTCCGAGAGCTCTTGGGTAAGACTCTTCTCTTGGTTCACCAGGCGTTCTTTTACGTTGGCCAAAGATTTCTCCATGGCTTCGTAAGAGTGCATTTTTTGGCGAAGAGGTTTCAGCTCGGCCTTAAGGTTGGTGACGGTTGCCTCCAGCTCGTCAACCTTCTTTTGGGCCGCCTCTAACTGAGCCCGAACAACGGCGGTAGCCTGCGCCTGATAATAAAGAAGATCAATGGTCAGTACTTCATTTTGGGCAATTTGAAACATTGCCTTATCACAGCTGGAGGCGGCCATAGCCTTTGCGGCCTTTACCTCTTTGTTTTTCCGATCAATCGGCTTGCGAAGGCTGTTGACTCGGAGCAGGGCCTAAGTACAAAGAAAAATAGGCGTCAGTTTCCAAACAAAAAAGATAACAGGCGTCCTGGAACTCAAATACTCAAAAATATGCTAAGTATACCTCAGCAAGGACCCCTGAAATCCCATCAAGGTCAAGGGTGCCGGCACCCCTGACCGCCTCCCTTTCAGATGGAGGAACGACTTTGATCATGGACTTGGCTACCTCAACCAAGTCAAGCCCCTGAGGGCCGGCTGCATTAAGTGAAGGGAAAAACAAGTTAGACCTAGTCAAGAAGGAAGCAAGTGAGTTTTTACAAGTGATTGTCCATACTTCTAGGCGGCCCCGCCGGGGTTTTAGAAGAAGTGGCCGGCTGCTTCTCAGTCGCCACTGTTTTCCTGGAAGACCCAGGAGAGCTTGCAACAGTCGTCCTCCGGGCCTTGGGGTCCGGCTGTTGCGAGGAGGAAGCCCTTGGAGTGCCAGACTGAAAACAAAAAGAGTTAGTATATGCATAAGACAACTAAAAGAGGAAGAGTTTTCGAAGCTTACCAAGGGTGCCTCCTTGTTGGGGGAGTCGGCATACGACTGTTTCATGAGCGAGGCCCGCAACATGGCCGCCGCAGTCTTGGATGCTGTTATTTTACTCATGGCGTCAGCTGCAAGAAATAAACAGCAAAGTTAGTAAAAATCCCAAGTAAACAAGGCGTGAAAAAACAGAGTATTTGTCAGGCCGGCTACCTCTAGAGCACCGACTGCTGAGGCCACAGGCGGCCAAAAAGTACTCGTCATAGAGCCACTTGAAGCTCGGGACGCAGTTTAGGGGTACTTGCTCTCGTACCCCTGAAGTAGAGTTCACCCTAGTCTCTACTTTGAAGAGTCCTTTGTCTAGGATCTCTCTTTTAGCCTTTGGGGGAACAGGCGGCATGCTGCGGCCGCCTGCGAGAAGAGGCGGATCCCTGTTCCACTTGTTAAAACGTTGGTTCAGCTCCGTGTCTGAACCCTCAATGATAAGGAAGGTGTTCCGCCAATCCTTCCATTTGTTCGCCTTACCTCTCGTCATGAGGTAACCCCTATGGCTTGTTAGTTGATACCAGCCGGTACCTCCCGACTTAGGGGTCCGGCTGAGATAGTTCATGTGGGCGAAAGCCTCAAAGCTTGGCTCCACCCCGTACATTTCGCACCCGGCCACATAGCCGAGTACGTTTACCCAAGAGTTGGGGGCTAACTGCCATAACCCCAGATCATACCCATCTAAAATCCGCTGAACAGCCGGATGTAATGGGAAGCGCAGTCCAGCTTTGATGGCCGCCACATAGCAGCCACATAGCCGCCACATCTAAAATCTGTGGTTGGCAATAAAGCTCGCCACGTTGTCTTGCATGGTTGCGATCCGGCCCCGGGGTACCATGCAGTAGTAGGGGGCGTTTTCCTCTCTGTAAGAGGCGGACGGCTCCGCCCAATTGTCCCCCTTCTCAACTGCATGAGAAAGTCTCGCCTCTTGTAGGCGGCTATGTCTTTCTTCTGAGCCTGGAGAACTGTGGCCGGAAGAGCTGAACTCGGACTCGTCCTCTGACGAGTCCGAAGAGGACGACTCCTCCCCTCTCCCAGAGGGGCCCGCCTCCTCTCCCTTAGAAGGAGCAGGAGGAAAATTAGACATGTCAACGGTAAGATGGGAAGGGACCACCTTGGCCCCTCTCTCAGGACTGTCGGCTTGACAGTCGCCTTGTTTCAATTCTACATCTGGCGCCTGGTCAGATGTTTCACTAAGGAGCACCCTTTGGGAGGAGCCGTCTGAGTTTGATATCATAGCAGTCTGTTTCGTTCTGGCCATCACGTTCTGCATAGACATAGATACAGTCGGACTTTGTATAAAGGGCAAAGATGGGTCCAGAAAAGGGCAGGCGGCACTCCTAGTCCTAGATTCAGCCGTCCCCGGTGACCGGCTGATCACTAACTTAGGTCGTGTCGTGTGCTTCCGTGGTGCCATTTCAAAAAATAAAAAGAAAATTAAGAGTAAGAGAACTGAGTTACCTGAACGAGTGACGGTTGATGAAGTCCTGGAAGTCCGGTGCAGTCGGCTTGTCAGAACAGGCGGTAGGCAGAAAAGGTCCGAAATGTCAGAGCAAGTTCAGGGGTCCGAATGTTCTCGCAAAGTTCTCAAATGTGAAAATGACCGAAGTCAGCACTTCCTTTTATAGGCAAAGTGAGAAGGAGAAGGGTCGCTTCCAAATTCAAAATTTGGGCGGGAAAATCTCTCGGCCGTTTGCAAGGTGACACCTGTAGCAGGCCGTCGCCTGTCACCGTGCGACACCTGTCACAGGCGACATGTGACCAGTCACGTGCCACCTGTGAGGGGCAAATGATTAGGGGATTTTTATCCACCAATCACTGTCTGACAAGTGGACCAACCAGGTTCCGCCACGTGTCCTTCACGAAGGCCAACAGGAGCCTGCCACGTGTCAATCACAGATACGTCCTCTACGGACCAATTTAGACACGCCACGTGTCCACCCATGCCAAATGGGAAAACCGGCCATCAAGGCCCAATCCAGTCTAGAGGCCCGATCAGCCCTAGGTTTACCTTAAACCTAGAGAGTGGCACGCTTCTCAAGGCTATAAATACTTAATTAATCCTCATTAGTTAGGTAATAAAAGAATCAAGAAATCAAGCAGAGAAGAACAGAAATATTACGGAACACCAACAACCGGCTAATCTCGCTAACGACGCAGATTACCAACACTAAGCACTCTCACCTAGAGAGATCTTATTACTTTAATTTCCGTATTAATTACTCCTTAATCAGGTACTAACTTGACCGTTGGAGGCGGAGCTCTCAGGAGTCTCCGTTATTTTGCAGGTACAGGCGTCCGGTTCCAGTCTCGGAATTGTAACTCTCCCGCAGGACATCAGAAAAACCCGAAACAATAAGTTTTGCACCAAGCCTCATAAACAAGAAAACAGTTTGCATGACTAATGCACAACGGCCCCAACCTATTATTCCCTTTAAAAGATCCAATATTCTTAATTTATGAGTTTGCATGTATTCTTACAGATTGTTATTCAACCACGAATTATTGAATGACAACCAACGTGGGTGGTGTTCCTGACCAGCCTCAATCCGAACATGAGACTGACCAAGTCTCTCAAAATCAGAAAAAAGAACAGGGAGCAAAAAGGAAGAGGATGAAAGAACGCTCTGAAGTTTGGGAGCACTTTGATAAAGAAGACTTACCTTCTGGAATGCAGACAATTGGCAAGTATTGTGGGATGAGCTACAAGTGTGGGGCAAAGAAAAACGGCACTAGTGTGTTATGGGCTCATATTTCGCGATGTCGTAAGTATCCCTTTAACACCCCTAAAGATTCAAAACAAAGTTTGCTTTCATTTAAAAGTGCTAAAGAACCGAGTGGTGGTACTAGTGGGTTGACATACCACAAATTTGATGCTGGTAGTATTAGAAAAGCTTTGTCATTTATGGTGATTGTTGATGAACTTCCATTTAAGTTTGTTGAAGGTATAGGTTTTAGACATTTTGTGGTGTAATAGAGCCTAGATTTAATGTTCCTTCTCGAATTACAGTAGCCAAAGATTGTTTTGAAACATATTTAACTGAAAAACGAAAGCTGAAAAATGTGTTAAAAAGGTGTAATTCAAGAGTTTCTTTAACCACTGATACATGGACCTCTATACAACAAATCAATTACATGTGCTTGACTGTCCACTTTATTGATAATAATTGGAAATTACACAAAAGAATTCTGAATTTTTGTCCTATTTCTAGTCATAAGGGTGATGATATTGGCAAAGAAATTGAAAAGTGTTTGCTTGATTGGGGGCTTGAAAATGTCATGTGCATAACAGTTGATAATGCTAGCTCAAATGATACTGCAATTGGGTATATGAGAAGGAAAATAAATGGGTGGAAAACTGGGGTTCTTAAGGGTCGTTTCCTTCACATGCGTTGTGTTGCACACATTGTCAATTTGGTTGTTTCTGATGGGTTGAAAACTGTTAATGAGTCGGTTCAACGTGTTAGGCATGCTGTTAGGTTTATCAAACAATCTCCTGCTAGGTTGCAAAGGTTTAAAAAATGTGTCTTAGATGAAAAAATCAACACAAAAAAGGGATTGTGCCTTGATGTGCCTACTAGGTGGAACTCCACCTATTTGATGTTGAATGCTGCTATTGAGCTTCAAGATGCTTTTGAGAGGTATTCTGGGGAAGACCCTCACTATGTAGTTGATTTGAATGAGAGGGATGGTAAGGGTAGCCCAGATTCTGATGATTGGAATAATGTAAGAAGACTTTCTGAATTTCTACAAGCCTTTTATGATCTGACCTTGCATGTCTCTGGCTCTTTATATGCCAGTTTGAATTTGTTTTTTCATGAATTGGTGAGTGTTGCTGTACTTATGAAAGATTTGGTTTCAAGTGATGATGTGGATATGTGTCTTATGGCTTGTAGAATGAAAGAAAAATATGAAAAGTATTGGGGTGATCCAGAAAAAATAAACCTCCTGATTTTTATTGCCGTTGTCCTTGATCCTCGTTATAAGCTTGATTATGTTGAGTGGATGATAACTGAAATTTATGACCCTATTGTTGCATCAAAGTTAGTTGATAATGTGAAGGTAGCTTTGAATGCTTTGTATGAGGAGTATCGTGTTTCTTCTGGTAATGATGTGAATAGGGAGGAAGTGTCTTCAAGTAAGGATGGCAAAACTCCATTGAGTCCCAAACATAAAAAGATTGAAGTCTTAAAGAGTAAGTATAAGAAACACAAGTGTGAGAGAGATGGAGATGCAAAAATAGAGTTAGACAAATATTTGGAGGAGGATACAGCGGAGGATATTGATGAATTTGACATTTTGAGCTGGTGGAAGTTCAATTGTTCAAGGTTTCCTACTGTGGGGAGAATTGCCCGTGATGTTCTTGTTGTCCCTGTTTCGACAGTAGCTTCTGAGAGTGCATTCAGCACTGGGGGCAGGGTTCTAGATCAGTTTAGGAGCTCATTAACTCCTCGAGTTGTAGAAGGTCTTGTTTGTGCTCAAAATTGGTTACGTGCTTCACCATTTCCAAGTATTGAAGAATGTTTAGAGGAAGTTGAGCTTCTTGAAGAGGGTAATATATAAGAACATCTAATCATAAGTTACTTATTTTCATTATGTGTATATATTTTAACTTGGTTATTTTTGTTATGAATTATGATAGACTTGAAGAATATGGCAGTTGGTGATGCTGATATTGATGAAGTGCTTGAAATAATAGACTGATGTGGCTCTTGCTCATTGCTGACTTGCTGTTGCCACTTGCCAGACTTGCTACTGCCTTGCTCTATCACTGCTACTGCCTTAGTCGATGCTGCTGAGTGCTGACCTGCTTTTGCTGCTGACCTGCTGTTATGATGCTGCTGCTGCCCTGCTGCTTGTTGCTACTGCTGTTAAACAATTTTTTTACTGCCTTTTAGAACTTGGTCTATGCTGCTTGTTGCTACTGCTGTTAAACAATTGTTAAAGTTGTAATGTTGAACAATTTTATTTTTTTTGGATGAAGTGTTGAACTTTTAAAACTTTGAATTATAACTTTGAAGTTTTAGAACTTGTTAATGTTGTTTAAATCTCATTAAGCATTTATGCTACTACATATGTTGATGAATATAATATTTATATGATTTAAGCCCACAAAAATTGCAGATTAAAGCCCAAATAAACAAGGCCCAAAAAAATTCGGTTTGGTTCGGTTTTTTCTTTTGAAACCGAAATTTATATGGTTTGGTTTCAAAAGTAAAGTGGTGCGGTTTGGTTTCCAAAAACCAAAAACCGAATTAGGGTGGTTCGGTTACGGTTTGGCCTATAAACCAAACCGAAAACCGAACTTTCACCCCTACTCTTGGGAACCAGATGAGGCCAAGCCATCCTTCGAAACTCCTCCAATAAAACTGCACGAAGGATCTCTGGGACTACCCTAAGTAAAACCAATTGTTGTGACAAAGATACTCCATAATTTGCTAGCTAGTACGCAACTCAATTTGCTTCCCAGTAACAATGAACAAATCTCATATCCCAACCATTCTGACTTATAAACGCTATACACTTCAGTATGATATGAATACAAGAAGAGGTAGAGGATATTCCTCCAGCAAAAGACGAATCACCACCTCAGAGTCACCACAACCTAAAGCCTCTATTTCAAGCCATAGCCAACCCAACACACTCCATGATTTGGGTTGGATTGGCAGTTTGGGAACGAATTATTCAATTTTAGTCGGGTAAAGTCATAATTTGAGTTGGAGATAGATCCAAAACACTACAGTCAACTAGCACGAGCACTTGCAAAACTACGGAGGGTTGTTGGAATATTTACGTGCGATGATCAAGACAGTGTGTGGAAATATGAAGTTTAGATAGAGAAAGTAGAGATAAGTTAGAGCGTTTTTGTAGGCAATAGCCTTAAATATTGTATTGAAATGAACATGTTCTATAAATTAATTATTGAGGTATATACATCGTACTTGTTCAGCTTACACTAAAGTATTGTGCCCTAAAAAAACGAGTCTTGATTGACAGCTTAATAGGTGCTTGACATGTGTCATGGATAATACCGATTTTTAAGGTTCCAATAAGTTTCAATTAGGTTTAATAAGTTCAATTCAAGTAAAATAAATTTAAATCAGATAAATAAGTTTTAATCAAGTATAAGGTGAAAAGACACTTTTATCAAAAATACTACCTCCGTTAATTGTTATGTGCAATTTTGAGGTATTATTTGTGAGATATTAAATATTCCAAAGTTGCATATAACATTTAACCGGAGCTCTCACATCACCCACGTGAATATAAGATGATCGCCATAATCTTACCCCCAATAAACAGAAAGATGGTAGTGCCGAGTTGCCGACTACAAAGCAAGTAACAACCAAAAAGCAGGGACAATTGACAATTGTTGCCCAGCAACAACCTTGATGACTCATTAATAGACACATAGCCAAACACAACATGTAACACTTCCAATTTTCTAGATAGATGTCAGTTTATTATAATCTTTTATGGAGTACTTTGTACTACGTATACTATTCCAATGATTCTCTTACTAAAGTTTACTGTTAAAGTTAAAAATAATAAAACTATAAAAGTGGTATCATCAACTTTTCCAGCAACCCATTAGAAATGCAACAACATCTTCAAGATATCACAAATTGCAGTCATCAAAACTAATGTAAGCTCTTTGGTAAATGTTTTCCCATCTCTTTCTCTTCATTTAGATCATCACATACATGCATTTTACTTTTGTTATAAAAATAAATTATTATGAGAATAGATCGTAGTATAATCTCGGTTGGCTTAGCTGGTAAAGTGTTAGAGAATCGAAACTATGGTATCAAGATTGAGTCATCTCATTTTATGTTTATTGTTAATGTCAAAGCTAGGCATTCCATGTACTAGGAGGCCCAATTCCAGCCTAAATTGTTAATGATCCATTTCATACTCTCAATCCACACATTTGATGTTCATTGACTCATTGTAGATGTATTTTATTTTTATTTTTTTTAAAAAAATTTAGAGTTGCTTCTAGTTACATATATTTGTGCCGTGATTTTGTTATGTATTCTTAATTATTGTAAATTCTTAACTTAATTTCATTATAAAAATTAAATTTTATGTTTATATAAGGCTACATATATTATTACTCCGTATTCACGTTTTTTCTTTGAAATATTTTTTTTAAGAAATATCATTATTAATGTTATCATGTTATTAATTAATATACATCGTTAAATCATTAATTAATCCTATGTTAATTAAGATGACTTGCTTTAATCCAGCAGCGACACGTATTAATGTGTTACCCTAAGTAGTTGCGTTGTTGGACAAAAAATAGAGCATCACCGTCTCACCGAATACCAAATGAGCGAATTACCATTATCGTTGGATTCGTTTCCCATACTTATGCAATGAAACACGTACCAAAAAAACTAACTAAAGTGGCGACACTTGTTTATTTGATAAACCACCTGTGTACTTGGCACCAAAAATATCTTTTACGTTTTACCATATTCCAATACACTTGTTTATTTAATATTAACCACCACTGTACTTGGCACCAAAATATCTTTTACGGTTTTACCATATTCTAATGCACTCGTGTTTGTCATTCATTCGTTACCAAAAATAATGCTTCTACATTTAAACCAATGTTTTACGTGAGCATCGATATAATTAATTAGCTGTCTGGTAATTAATCGTCACTTTGATCTCTTTCTCTTCTTTTATACTTCGTATATCTTTGATCAATTTTAATGTATTTAGTATTCATCACGTATGTCTTTTGATCAATGCAGGCAATTAAATGTCAATTGCATCATCATCACGTTGTGACCGCATTGTAAAGAATTTTAAACCGTCTTTGCTGATGATATTGAATCTCATTTACATCATTATTATCACGCTGCTGCGATCGAATTGCGATGAGTTAAGGTATAGGATATTCTATTTACTCGATTCTATGGATTTAGTTGTCGTATTAGAAGTCAAATTACATCATCAAACTCATAAAGCTACTTTTTACAGATTTACCCGAAGATATATCTTTATACTTGGAATTTCAACTTTTTGAAGACTTCAATCTCTTGGATGAATTGACTGACAATGGAACAAATCAAGCGTGCAATAACAGAGTTTCAAATCCTGAGGCATTGCAATTTACGGTAAGTAATTTCATTCTATTTTAATTGTTTATTTCAATTGATTTTACAATTTAAATTTTGAATTACAGTAATTTTAATCTATTTCATTTCAATCACGAAGCATTTCTTTTTATATCATTCATTTCATTACAATTGTCATTCATTTTTAACTGTTAGTAATTTGCTAACTTGCATGAAACAGATTATTTCAGATAACTGCAATTAATTTGCCTTTTTTTTTTTTTAATTTTTTTTATTTTAGACTGTATATGATGATAATAAATTTATACAAAACTAACCCTAACAAAGGATGCTATTTAGAAAATTGGAACTTATAGTATAATTGACTGGTTAAGGGTAAGATTACTTATGTAATGGATCCTTATGATTCCGGTCTAACGAAAAGATTTTGATATACAATATGATATACAATGTGGAACACCTTAACTGACTAGAGGCCGTAGTCCGTAGAGGGGAGGTATTAGTTTGAAACCTTATCAGTAGGATAACATGTCTTAGGCACCAACATAATGTACCTGTATTCGTCTACCCTCGCCTGGATTCAGCTGTCAAGCCTGTCCGAATATTTATAGTTCTAGTCGAGTATACCCAAGTCTTCGTGTTCTCTGTCTGTTCAGTATATTGCTGATTTTCCCTGCCTGATCGCAAGGATAGCATAACCACAGAATATCAAGATAATTGGAGAGAGTGGTGACTAAGTCACATTATTAGTAACAGATTGTACAAGAATGTATTGACCAAGTAAATATACAATACATTAATCTTCATCATGTCTGCAAATTAATGCTTTATTACACTGCATCTACTTTATTACACTGGTGAAGTATAGTAGTTAATAAATAGGTATAAACAATCATAGTTTTACACATAGGAGACAAGGGAATCAAATGAGAATGCGAGTTCTCATCAGAAAAATAAGGAGCATTCATTATATAGCCCAATTAGCATTACCAGTGCAAAGACAAAAAATAATATAAATGCTTAGCCTCATGCCCCTACAGCTTGCTACCATAGCAGAGGAAGTGTTCTTACCGATTGAGGGCATGCTATATGTGCACCCACCTCCTCGACGTTGTTTGACTCTAAATCTGTTTGGTTTCCACTGTTAAAATTGACCATCAATTTTGCAACCTGCAACCCACACACTCAACATAAGTAACCAATTATCTCACTGTTAGCTAGGCTAGGTCTTTTGATAGAGGGAAGTGTTCTCACCGGCTGAGGGGATTGTATATGAGAACTCGCCTCCACCACGTTGTTTAAATCCAGATCTGCATTGTTTTCATTGTTGGAATTACCCATCAATATTGCAGCCTGCAACCACACAATTGACATAATTAACCAAATTCCTTAATCCTTACTCTTAGGCTAGGGTCTTTTTGAAAGAGGAAGTGTTCTCACCGGCTGAGGGCCTCGTATATCATCACCCTCCACTCCCTCCTCCATCACACCATTTAAATCTAAATCGGTCTGGTTTCCTCTGTTGGAATTGCCCATCAATTTTGCAACCTGTAACCCACACAATTGACATAAGTAACCAATTTCCTCGCTCTTATCTAGGCTAGCTAGGGTCTATTTCTTTTTTTTTTTTTTTATCTAATAAATACCTCATCCTTCAGCTGTTCATTCTCTAGTTTCAGCGCCCTCTCCTGTTGAAGCAGTGATCACCAGATATAGTTAAAAAATGTCACAAAAAAAAAAAAAAAGAAATATGAAAACTAAAACACAGTTGACATAATCATATCTTGTGCATGCACAAAGAATGCCCATTATTACCATTCCCCCATTTGGATCAGCTAACGTCGACGGGCCTGGGAAAGAAGTTGAGCCTGATCATAATGCTTAGACCTTATCTAACTATAACTAGATGAATATTGAGGGACAACTCTTCTAGGAATGTCCTTCTAAAGACTAACATAATCCCATCTGAAATTTCTGATCACTTTTGCTTTGAAGGAACAAGAAACTGTTTCACATGCTTCATACTACTCCAAAGATACTGCATCCACACCTTTTGAGTTAAATCCACTAACCTAGTTTTTGAATGAGTAGTAAAAATAATTGTCGGGAAACCAAAGACACTGCATCCACAACTGAGCTACAATTATTCTGTATTTTTCACTTAAGGAACTTTATTCAGCATAGTTTTTTCTAATGTAATTGGGGGCTGGGTTCTAATTATAGAGTGTGGTTGGACCAACCATCACATTCAACTCTGTCTCTGCAAAGATCCCTTGTTTCAGCAGTCTTGTTAATTGCGTTTGTAAAGAGGTTCACAACTTGCTAACGTAATATAGATTTAGTTGGCTGGAGCACTGAAGAAGTGAAGATAAGTATGCAACTATGCATAACTTCTGTCTTCAAGGAAAGGAGGGATGTCATAGGAAGGTAACGAAGATCAAATTTATTAACCTTATTTTTCATTGCATGCATTTTGAAGAGGTGAAGCAGCAGGTATCCTATTTAGGAGAATATTATAGAAAATGTCAAGGAAACTCTAGGATTACTTCCATAGGTTCTACTTTCATCTTATACTTTCAAGGTAGTGTGTCCCAGGTCGGGAAATTAGAAACGGATATTTTTGCCCGTTCCTAAGTATCTTGTTGCTGCAATCACTTTGTGAAATTCATCTGTTCACCGAGGAATGGACTACAAGATACATATGCTTATCAAAACTGGTTTGGTGTCCCATGAGAATTGATAGATACAAGCAACCTCTCCCATTGCCTAACAATAGTGAGAATAAAGGACAAAATAGATGAAAAGAACATTGTCAATAAAAAACCTATTAGAACCATGAGGATCCGCATCCTTACAAGTGGATTAAAGAAATTGAATAGTGCGAAGTGGTAAGCTTAAGGATGCTTTCTACTTCTTTGTTGTAGTGCTTTATGTTCTAGACATAGATCTTGGTGAGGAAATGTGATTGGCAAGTCTTCCCTTTGACTAGTTAACAAGTCATTATATATAAATGGGGATGCATCTACATTGGTAAATAAGTACAACTTTACCTAGAAGCTGAAAGTATAACACATTATTCTTATCAGATACAAGAAGTCTGGAAGAAGAAATCTCCGTACCTTTTCACGTAGTGCAGCCACAGATTCTAGCATAAGCTGAGCCTGTTAAGAACCATAGTATCGAAGTCAGTGCAAAACATTTGATAAATATTGATTGGCGATCAAGAATCTACTCAATTGTTAAGCAATGAATTGTGTAGTGTCTAGTTTAAGATTTGCTTGAGAAAAGAATTTAAAGACCCTCCTTGGTTCCTTTCCATTATTTCCCCTCTTTGGCTTCTCCCGACCTCACAATGTTTATCCTTAGTATTTGGGAAGAAACTGAGGTGAGAATGGATCACCCCCTGAAACCTCAAAGAAAGATAAAGCAACAAACAGAAAAGGATAGAGGTTCTTATGTGTATAAACTAAAGACTGCTCACAAGAAAGCAACTGGACTGGGGTAAGATATAGTATGGCTATGAGATTATATATTAGTTTCAGCCTTTATGAAGTAAAATGGTTACTGGATGCGAATGATAACAACCAAAGGAAATAGAAGGGCCAAGAGTTATGATTATGTATTGTCTTGCTGAACATTTCAGTGAAGAAATTAATGCACTGTATGATACATCTTGCAATATGTACTCTACACACTCCACAAGAAAGGATTACTTTCCTGTTTCTAGTGAGCAAATTACACAATTACTAATCAAAAAATTGGGAGCTTGACTACACCACACAAGAGTAGCAAGTGCTGTTTGATTTAAGAGAATTTGCTCATGATGATGAAGTAGTTGTAAGAACTAAGTCTATGAAGCTCCTTCAAGTTTGAGAGTTGCAAGAATAATGGAGAAAGAATAGGAACTAGCCACATAGTAGCTCACTAACCCAATGGCCAACTCAAAAAAGGAGAGGGAAAGGATAACAAGGGAAAAGATGGACCTTTCGGTTTCTTGTCTGTAGAAGGGCATCAGCTAGTTGCCTCTCCATCTGCATGAAATCATCCAGACTAAGTTTCTCAATATCTGGGCCTTCTAGATACCTGCAAGATTAAATAAAATTATGAAACAAAAAATGTCATCTTCAGAAGAAGAAGCAGATAGACATTTTAATACTTGCCTTTCAACTGTTTTTACTAGTTCACTACATGTTTGAACTTCTGTGCATGTAGAAGGGGAACTCTGGTCACAAGAAAAAGAACACCAAAATTGTTACAAATGAGGGAAAAGGTCAAGAGAACTATAAACTTGAATGAATATTCAAAACATGAAATATCATTCCTGGCCTAGAATAAGAATGATGCTAGATACAGAGAATTCAGAAACTTTCAGTATAAGGAGTGAAGGACTATCTATAATGTCTACAAGGACGATCAATACTCTAATGCAAGAAGAAACTATCCTATATTCCTATGCCTAGACTTTATAAATAATTTCTATCCACTCTAACATCAATACCTGCCCCTGTTAATTCCAACCGTGATAGCTGATGGCAGCTACGGAATGGAACAGTAATAAGAATACAAGCACATCCATACCCCCCTCTCCCCTCCAGAACCACACCACTTACTACTTGAACACAAGCAGAAAGACACTATCAAGGAAGCTGGTGTGAGCTGTAAGCCTGTAACAGTGCACACCATTAGGAAAGGCAAAAGATTGAGAACAGATACTCTAGTATCAAAAGTCAAAACCTGTCTTTAGACTGCAAATTGCATAACAAGAATTACACTGAAGGCATTCTCATCAATGTCGTTCTGTAATTGCTTACCAAAAATTCAGTCACCAATGGTTATGTGCAATAATAAAGTAGTAGTAGTGATACCATATCATCCTATATGATGTACTATAATAACGCATATAATAGCCTTTAGCATACGATCAGAACAACTAATTCATCAGGATTTGTCAAGTATAAAAGACTTGGGAGTAGCAGTGGAATAGTACATGAACATAAATGAGATGTTCATTACCTCTGTTTCATCAACAACCATTGAAGCTTTCCCATCTGTGGCGATAGAATCTTGGTAGCGCTTAAGAATCTGAGACAAACTGAACAAGAAAAACCATGTCTTAAATAAGGCAAGTCAAACACACATGAATTATCCATATAAGATCAGGGTAAGCCCATGTACTCTAAAGAGAATGGAAGTTTCAAAAATCATCAAACCAACAGAATTTTGTGCTATTGAAAAGCCATAACAAGAGTTCAGAGGATCCAAAACACTAGCAGTAAGAATTTAAGTGACAACTCTTATGGATAACACCTATAAATGTAAGTTGAGGGTGGTTAGAGGCCAAGAACTAAAAGGAACCCTTTGTGGATGTTGAAGAGGAATTAATACATTGAGCTTGACTAAATATACCAAATAGTTGATAGGTGAAGGAGTTGTCTTTTTAACATCTAACCTTATTCATTAGATCCCATAAAGTTTTCTAAGATAACTTTGATACATCATCACAATCTTAGCCGGAGCTTCTTTAACAATGACAATGGACATAAGGACTATATTGTGCTACCTATAACTTCTTGTATAGAGGTCAATAATGAAAGAAATATGAGTCAACTACAAAGAATGTGGAAGTAAAAGCAACACCATTGTGCATAGTTTTAAATTAATGAGAAAACATAGGGAAGAAGATGGTCTATTTGGGAAGGCAAGTTTTGGACCATAAAGGTTTAGCTTCCTTCATATGATATGCTAATGTCCTTAGTTCAAAGAGAAATGGTCTATCTATGAATTTTTCCTTTCCTTCTCAAAATCATATCTCCCACATTGAGTAAAGATGTACTACATTAACTAAAAATAGTTGCTATATATTATGTGCAACAAATGTTTTATTTCCTTTTAAATTGTCATTTTTCTCTACCTCTCTTCTTATCACATGCATCATTATCTTTCTCTCTTTATTTGACATTCACAAGCAAATTTTGTCTAGGAGTATGTGCAAAATCAATTGTCGCATATACTGTGAAAGAGAGGTAGTAATCAATTTCATAGTGAAACCAAATCCTTCCCATTCCAAATTCCAATTAGATTTTTTTATCAATTAGTAAAAATAAGCTTGCTAAATGAGGGTTTCTCTTTGATTAAAGGAAATAGTCCTTATGCTCTTAAGGATTTTTGACATTATCGTTGTGACTAAACTTGAGCTATGAAGATTTCATTTACATCCAATATTCTTATGTTTATTTACACTTTGTTTGGATGGAAGGAAATGGAGGGAAAAAAACAGGAAGGAAAATGGAGGTATTAATTATCTTTCATTTGGATAACAAATGAGAAATGAAGGGAATTGGAAAGAAGAGAAATGAAGGGATTTAATTGTAATGATTTGATCTCTCCATTTGACTCATTTATTTCCCCTCCTCTTCACCTCCCTCCCCTTCTTTTCTTTCCCATTTCTTTATCCAAACACACTGTTAGAGACACTATCTAGATTAAAGATAATTTATTTTCGGTACAGAGCAAAATAGCGCCCCAATTTGCTGGAGAGTAAGAAGTGGAAGAATGCGTAATATCTACGTAAAGTGTTAATAGGGACAAAATCCCGATCAAGTGATTGAAATTTCTATCAAAGTTTTGTACTCGCCAACAATTCGGTTTCACGAAATGGTATATGGCAACAAATGATTCTTTGTCTTTTCGAAAAAATTGTGAATAGATTTATCTGCTGAAGTCCTTTAAAAAAAAAACTTCCCAACCTTAAATATTAGGATCGAGCATTTAGGATCCTAAGTTGTTAAAGTTGAAAAAGACTTCCTAGAGACTTACGGGGCATTTGGCAAATGAGATTGGGAATTTGGGGAATATAGGGTGGGAGTGGGAATGACAATTAATAGGTGGGAATTCATGAAATAATCCCAATCCCTTCTTTGACATATTTTGGAAATAAGATTGCGAAATTTTAAATCCTATGTTTGGTATGTGGGAATAATAGAGGGATTAAAAGCAAAATTTACAAGATTGTCCTTTTATTATCATATGCCACAAAAATATATGCCACAAAACAAGGGTAGTATTGTCTTTTTAACAATTTAGTGAATTCCCCCCCAAAATATTACTTGCCACCACAGGTAATAAAATGTAGGGAATACAAGCTAATTATTCCCAAGCCCATTCCCACCAACCAAACATGAGTTTACAAAGACTAGGGATTATTATTCCCATTCCCAACCCATAATCCCACTTACCAAACAGCCCGTTAGGGTAAAAAAAAAAACCTAGCTGAAATTAACAACAAAAACATGATCATTATGGACATGAGGGATCTCTATTTCTAGTTTTACAACCTCACTTTTATAATTATTTGCAGAATCTCTTGTTATCATGAAAAATAGGCTGCCTTTGGTCTACTATGAGTAAAGATCTATGAATCTATCCAACAATATGAAAGGATTATGATTCAATCTTTACTCGAGTTGGTCACACCTATTTTACACATGATAGGTTATATAAGTGACCTTTTCAAAAATCCCCTTTATTCCTTTTATAAAAAAAAAGAAAAAGAAAACAAAGAGTTTGTGCACCATGTTAAAGTTGACATAAAAAAAAACTCATAAAACAATTAAAGGTGTAAGGAGGAAAATATGAAAAAAATAAAATCAAAACCTTAGGGAGGGAAAGGTATGAAAAGCAACTTTGAGAGACATATCATACATTTTGTTTCATGAAATTTTTTTGGAGTTGATTTTTCTTCTAACTTACAACTTACCCTAAAAGTTATTTGTTCACCTCTTAGATCTTATCTTTCTAGGTACTAACATAAAACTCTTATTGTATCTTTGTTCTTGTTTTAGTTCTAGTTCCAAGATTAATTACTTGACTTTCAATCATTTCTTAAACAATAATTTATATAAAACATCACACAAGGAATTTTCTTTTAACTACTTTTGAATTGTATCCTCTAAACTTAATTCACAGGTGAAAAGATTATTATTTCCTTGAAACACATTTTATGAGCAAGTAGTTTAAATGCAAAAAAAAAATAAGAGTATTGCTTCTTCATTCTTGTCAGCAAAATGCAAAACTTTTTTAGCACTTAAAAGGGTGAACATGATATAAAAAGAGAAAAAGACCTTTCTATCTTGTTCCTAAATTTAGATGTAAATACTAAAAATTAAACTGATAAAATAGGTAATGAAGCCAAAAAAGAGAGTTTCATGCACATATCTAGGTTTTCTCTCATTTAAATTATTCTTTTACACATTAAAATCATGTAAGCATGTAAAAGTAATTTTTACCAATATGTTATCCAAATTGCAAGAAGTTCGTTCTTACAAAGGTTTATAAACACTTGATTTTCTCTTATTTTTAAAGGATCATCTAAACCAAAAGCTTAACCTTATGGTTGAAGCCCATTCTCTTATCACGCCCCTTCACATGAGTGCCTTTTAGGCTTGAAATGTAGACATAGCATAAACCTCCTCATATGTAGTGCGTAATATTCCACTTGAAAGAAGCAGAGGATGAGATTTGAACATGTGACCTTGTCACGTTGGCTTTAATAACGCTAAAGGAACATGTTAAAGCCCATGATCGGTTTATACAACATTCATCCCTTATTTTTTCTCCATAGAGGTAATGTTAATTAATTTTTGGTTGATAGAAATTAATGAAAGTGAAAAGTGGTAGGGTTAATGGAGTAGTTGTGAGAGTAAAGTTATGGTCCCATATGTCCAAAAACACAATGAGGCAAAAGTATAGGGATGGACTAAAAGAAAAATTGGGGTAAAATATAAGGGACGGTGGAAGTATACTCATATTGTTAAATACGAGTCTGGGTCACACCCTTAATCGGAGAGAGAGTCCACTTTACAAGTCCAAGAAGGTTCCTTCCCAATATCATATGGCATAGGAAGAGTAGCCCCTTAGAGCAAGTTTAGCCCCAAATCTTAAGACTTGGGGTGACATCATCATTTTAAGTCTTAAGACTTATGCTTAAGACTTTTCCCATTTTTCTTCAAAAATCTCAAGCAAGTCTCAAATTGAGTCTTGAAATTTCAAGACTCAACTTAAGACTTAAGATTGGATCCCACTACTCCCACCTCACTTTTATTTTTAATATCCTTTTTTTTTTCTTACACTTTTCTACATATAATATGTCAAATATTTAAGTCTTAGGGCTAAAGTGATAAATATGTGTAAGTCTTAACAAGAATTTGATGACATCATTTTCAATGGAGACCACCAAAAATGATGTCACATTCAAGTTTTAAGACTTGAGGCTAAACTTGCTTTTAGCTTTATAAAGTGTTATAACTCTCTCTTCTTTAATCAATGTGGGCGTTCACATGTGGTGTTTGGTAAAGCTATGCCTTAATTTTTATTTTAATGAAATTTTTACTTTTCATCATTATAAACACATTACATTAAAACAAATCAAAAAGGTAAAAGATACTCATAAGAAATCTTCTTTCTATAGGATGAGGCAAAGGAATAAAAAAGGTAAAAGATACTCAAAAGGATATATAACAGTGCAAGATAATGTGAAAAAGACAATTACAAAGAGGGGCTATAATGTATTATTTTGAAGATCCTAATAAATACCCTTTGTGCAAGGTAAGTAAGGGTTAAATAAGCAAGGTAAAGAAGAATCAAACATATAAGTGAAGAGTATATTCTCATTTATCCTTCGATTTATGAAAGTTGATTTATAATGGATACATAATTTTGGCTCAAACCAACATGCTCATTGTTAAGATTACCGACTAAACACCTAACTATACATTGTCCATAGTAGTATCTAGTTACTCATCTATACCTAAGGAAGGCCACAAAGATCGTTTTCGATTTTCCCACAAGTTAGCACACATCAATGGTTTTGAAATTATATCTTGTGTGCTTAACTTTTAAACCAACCATTCCTCATTATGTCTAGGATAAAGAATTAAAGACTAGGATGTGCTTAACTTTTAAAACCAATCATTCCTCATTTTGGGTTGATTATGTCTAGGATAAAGAATTAAAGACTTTAAATTCTTCAGTTTATTTCATATTATGAATTTAGGGTTTTAAGTATTCCTGCCTTTAATCACAATCCTTTTAGTT